AAGGCCCTTTGTCTACAAGCCATCCCTCTTACCTCTTTGAGGGATGGCTCTTTCAAAAGGGCCCCCTGGCAAGATCTTAACAGCCTGGTAGGCTCATATGGAAGGAGGCGGTCCTTCAGGTATCCAGGGCCCAAGCCGTTTAGGGCTTTATATGTGAAAACAAGCACTTTGAATTGGGCCCGGGCAGCAATTGGTAGTCAATATAATTTAAACAGAATCAGCTTGATATGTCCCCTAGCGGCCCCACCAGTCACCAGCTGCGCAGCTCGATTCTAGACTGGTTGCAGTCACCGGACCATCTTCAAAGGCAGCCCCACATTGAGCGCATTGCAATATAATATACGAGATGTTACCAATGCGTGTGTAACGGTCATGAGACTCCGCTCATCCAGGTGGAGCCGTACCTGGTATAATTTCCGCAGCTGAAGGAAGGCGCCCCTGGCCATCGAGTCCACCTGGGCTTCCAGAGTTAGACTGGGGTCCAGGAGCACCCCCAAGCTGCGGACCCTGTCCCTTAGGGGGAGTGTAACCCCATTCAGGACAGGGAAATGGCCCCCCAACCTGTCCGTCGAAGCACCCACTAACAGCACTTCTGTCTTGTCTGGATTGAGTTTCAATTTATTAACCCTCATCCAGTCCATTATCTGGTCCAGACACGAGTTCAGCACAGAAACCGCCTCACCTGGATTGGTGGAAAACGAGAGGTAGAGCTGAGTGTCGTCAGCATACTGCTGACTCCTCAGCCCAAACCTCCTGATGACCTCTCCCAGCGGTTTCATGTAGATGTTAAACAGCATGGGGGACAGTATCGAGCCCTGAGGAACCCCATGACATAAATGCCTGCCCTTTCAGCCCAAGCCCCATTTTTTCCACAACAGCAGCATTACAACTGCCAGATTAAAGTACCAGACTACCCCGTGCAGGCAGGGACCCAAATATGTAAATCACTGGGCACTGTTACTGAGCCCATGGCCCAAAGCAAGCAAATAGGCCACTTACATGCAGGCAGCAATCCCATTAGAATAGACAACGCAGCTCCCACCGTTCTCGCAGGGTTTGTCACCATCAAGACACTGTGCAGCTGTAAGAAAAGAGAAAGGCCTTGATTAGAGCCTGCGGTGCAAGAACAGAAAAATAATACTCAGATTATGGAGAACAGGCAAACAGTTATTGGTCTAAGCAGTTCAAAACAAGTACCGCATGCACCATGATCCACTGCAGGTAAACAACAGAGAACAGTGGACCCTATCACACCATGAGCTTCCGAAATATTAGTCCTAACCAGCCTTTTTCCAGCTTGACTTCCCAAATGTTGTTTGATCAACACTTTCATCATTTCTGGCCTTTGGCTATGCTGGTTTGAGGCAATGAGAACTGCAATCCAGCAACAACTAAGGGCCCATGCTTGTGGAACTAGTTAATGATCTCCTCTCCCAAAGCAGTCCTTCTCCCCACTTCCCTTCCATTTTCTAAAAGCTGCAGTATACCAATTAAGACAAATAGGATGACTGGTAGCAGCTCTCCATGTGGTCACTCAGGAATGAGTCCCACTTGGAGATACCAAAACTGAACCCAAGACCTTCTACACACAAAGCAGATGTTTATACCATTTAGCTACAGTTCAGGTACCTTATCTCTCCTCACTTCCTGCCACAGCAAAGCTTTATGCATCTAATTTAAATGAAATCACAATAGTGATGGAGTGCAAACTTTGAAATTACAAGCTCTATCCAAACCGCCACAACAGTTCTTTCTTTTTAAAATTATTATTTGTATATGAGATATATTGGCTTCATACCAAACATGTTCCAAAGAATTTATAAGAATCCAGAGGCCTTTGAAGGAGGGCTGGAAATACTCAAGAGAGAATCTCCCAACCCTCCAAGACTTCAAAACGTCTAGCAATTTTACATTTCAAGAAAAGACCAAAAGGGAAAAAAAAACCCACACAAAGCGCTGGTGAATCTTCACAATACCACACAAGACAATATGTTAGAACTGGTACTGTACAAACATGCCAAGTTAGGACAGCTGGAACTGACAATATTCCTCACTAGTCCCACATAGTTGACACAGCTTCTACCTCTGTATTAACTAGTAGGAACTACATATATCACTATTGTTCAAGTACAAAAGGTATGCAAAACCCAGCAAAAGTCATGGGGAAAGGAACAATGTGGATAATTCTTGAATCAAGAAATAGCTCTTCTTATGGACATTTCTTCTTAAAAATGGACTCCTCAAATTGTTAAATAATTTTTCTTTAAATATTTACCAATTATGCTATTATTTAATGGTTTTATTGTTGAATTTGTTCTTAGTGATGCTTGTTTAGCTGCTATGAGTGCTACTGTCTCCATGGAAAAAGGAATATTAAAATGTAGTGTAGGTAAATAAATAAAACCTCTGGCAGCTTCTGCTCTCCACAACAACTTGGAAGAGATATCAAAGCCTCTGAGCATATACCTTTGCCTACATATGCACAAAAAATGAGAAGCTGGCCTGACACAGCTGAATGTTTTTTGTTTTTGTTTTCATTTCACATGGTAAAGGTTCCTGCCAGGTCATTCAATCTTGTGGTCCTGATCTTCTTCTGAATGTAACCCAGGAACAGGGTTAACACGGACATCAAAGGGAACACTCCAGCCCGCAAACAGCTTGAATGGGGAAAACCTATTCTGAGGAGGCAGATTGGAGCCCACAAAAGTTGATGCTTTCATCCTTAAGGTTCTATAAAGCCCTCTGGTGTGTGTGTGTGTTTGTGTGTGCGTGTGTGTGTTTGTTTGTTTTGTTTTGTTTGTTTTGCAGTAACAGACTAATGCCATTACTCTCAGAAAAAGCACTATTTCCCACTGAAGATGCCCTTTTGCCCACTTTGATTCAAGAAAAGAGTGTTACTGTCTCCAAACAGAAGTGAACACATCCCACAGAACCATGTCCCTCTGTAAAACAAAAAAGGGAGCTTGCATCACATTACAGTATAGCCAAGAAGAGGAACCAAGAGTTTACGTTGGCAGTGGCTATACAAGTCAGGGGCAGGGAATATCAGAGGCCTGGAGTGACCAGTCATAATTTCAGGGCAGAGCTGTCAAGATACTGCAACCCAGAGGTACAGAAATTCATCCAAATTAACAAGGATTCATGAGGGAGGACTGATGGCATCCCAAGACAGCCACCAGGAAAAACTCCACACAAGAGTCAGATGAAAGTGACTTCAATCTCCACAAATCTAAGTGGACACAGCCCTGTGCCTGGGGAAGCTGGTACTTTGACACAGCTGGCAAATGTAGTGTCTTTATCACCAGATTCCAGTTTCTTTGAGAGTTTAACAAAACTGGCACACGGAAAAGGAGAACCTGCCATTACCCCCCTCCCTCCCTCCCTCCCTCCCTGCCTGCCTGCCTCCCATGTATCAGCCCCATTAAGGTAGGAGGAGCCAATTAGCAAATTACCCAAACTAAGCTAAGCACGTTTCCTGATGAGGCCCAGGCTAGGGAAAAGACCCACCGGCATCCAGCTGTTGTATGAGTGGGATGCTTGAGTGCCCTAAGAAAGGATCAAAATGAGAGGCACGTCCCTTCCCAAAGGAAACCCCCTTCTAGTTCAAGAGTTGCTGGTAGACCTCTGGGCCTACTTGAGGAGGGAAATGCAGCTGGAGAGCAGGAAGATGCAGCCTGAAACAACCCCCCCCCTTTCAGAGCAGAGAAAAGATAGAAGGAGCCGGGGCCCAAGCATTTCACTTACTCTCAGCCATTTTCTAGAGACCCACTTGTAACAGAGTGCGTGCCCAGCACACTGATCAGTCCCAGACAATGCCTCTTCCCCCCTCCCCTGCTGCCCCTCACTCGGCCGCCACACAGAGCTAGCAACAGTCCTGCAAGCCAAATGTGCTACCAATAACCTCCTGGGTACAAACGATATTAAAATACCCTCTCCCGCATAATGGAACCTAATGCACTGCATTTTTTGCCATCCACCATTACTTTGACAACACTTGTAGCAAGTTGCACAAAATGGATTATCTTGCTTTCCCTGACACCTTCCCAGGAACTGTGCATATAGTTAAGACAGACACACAGAAACAGACACATTGAGGCAGCATTCTTGCATATTAGCTAGCAGACACAGAAAGACAAATTATTCCCAGTGTGTTCCATACAGGATCTGACAAAAGGCAGAGATCTCTACAAGTGTTTCCAAACGTGATAAGCACGTATTTTAAGTGTGTTCCATACAGGATCTGACAAAAGGCCGAGATCTCTACAAGTCTTTCCAAACGTGCATGCCTTCTACTAGGTTTACTCACACAGCTTTTCCAGTGTGAATGCATGCCCAATCTAACAGTACTCAATACACACTGCTAGTAAGGACTTCGGCAGAACACATTCCTAGCACAATCACAACCCTGCAGTTAGTTTCCTGCTATTTCCTTTTTTCAGAATACTGTACAGAGGAAAGTTTGAGTCAGCACCCCAACAACCCTTTCTGCTCACAAAGCATGCACCTTTGTAACTCAGCACACAATCACTGCAACCAACATTCCAATACACATCAGGTTTTCAATACCCATGCAAAAGCACATTGCTGCAGAAGGTCTTGTTTCTATGACGCTCAACCTTGCTCAGAATCTTACCTCCAAAAAGTGAGCTAGAAGCAGGCCAACCTATGACTCTAAAAGATTGTTAGCATGCCACAGAAATAAGCTCTTGTACCTGTGTTTCATACATATGTTGGTCAACACGTCTTCAAGACCTTGGTTCTGCAACACCCCATCAAAAAAAAAAAAGAAAGAAAGAAAGAAAAAGAAAAAGAAAAAAAGAAAGAAAGAAAGTTGGAAGACAAATAAGTTTCATGGTCTTTAAAGAACCACTGGGAATAAGAAGTGGCAGAGGTCACCCATCAAGGCTGTGAAAAGCCACAGACTACAATCAAGAAGCCCTGGCTCCCACTGCTTTGACCACTTAATCCCCATGCTCTTTGCAGGGCTAGGTTAGCTGCTAGGAGTCTTGGCTTTTCACCCCCTTCCCCCCCTCCACCCAATCTGCATTGACAAGCAACACTGATCTAGCCATACAAGTCATATTTAACTTTAAAAAAACTGTGAAAGACATCTTAAACATTCTTGACCTCCTAACAAGAATGTAGGCCACTTTGCATAGAGATGGTTTCACCAGCCAAGATAAACTATCCATACACTGCAAATGTATACAAGAGTAGAACCCCATTCCCACATTCACAGTTCTTTGTTACAGCACGCCTTCATAAACAAAATTTCCAAGAATTCACCTTGTTTGTGGAATTCTACATTCCTAGAATTGCTCTGCTTTAAAGCAGGCTTCTAGCTCTTATAGCTGTGAATTAAAGTTCTACTAGACATCCCTAGTGAAATCTGGAAAACCAAGAGTGAAATCTCAGAAGTCAAAACTGAAATTTTCCATTTCTCTGGGCAAAGTTTCAGGGTCTTGCATGAGTCTCTCTCACTACAATTAGCAGAAAACACAAATAAAATAAGGGACTGTATGCAAATATCTTTGATTACATAAGATTCTACACAAAATTTTGGCACAGATTTAAATACAGACACATAGACTACACAAAGGCCTACCTATAAAGTGCCTTGTGAAGGATAATGCATTTCAGCAAGAATGCCAGATTTCATTGTTTAGCAACCAATCTCTTAGCTTCACTAGAGCATTTGAAACTTGCTAACTACTAATTCAATATTTTCTCTCAGAGGATTTTTACTGGCCATGTCTTGCTGTACAAAATAAACAAACAAACAAAGAGACCTTATCTTCTAGATGCATCTTTGTAGCTGAAAGAATTCTTTTTTGACTTCAGAGCAATAAATGTTTCTCTGTCTTGATGACCTCCCTTTCCCCTTACAAGAGTACCATTTCTCTCCAAAGAGACTTTCAGTTTTCACTCCCAGTTTGGGTTCACATTTTCCACATTTGGCAACTGCATGGCTTAACTGTAAAGCTGTAAAGTAGAGCATACAGTTAAGCCATGCAGTTGCCAAATGTGGAAATATGCTTTACTTTGTCAAATGGTCTTTTAAAGACCATGGTTTGCTCTGCAGTCAGAAGCACTACAGCTTCTCCCGCAGTTCATTTTCATTCTATGATTCACAATTTTGCTATCTAGTTAGTTATATCAGAATATCTTCTGGATGTAAACATTCACACAGATAGTCAGGTACAGATAGCCCGAGATACTGTATAAACAGCAAGCAGGAACTGACGCTTTCATGGGTTAGCTTAGTTCTCAAGTACTGTACAGGGTACACTGGCAACCTCCAGGACTGCCTACTATTACAGTAGTGGCCCAAATCCATCCCATTGTTAGCTGGGGGCCCACTTCTAGGCTCCACCATGCTGGGGAAAGGCCTGCTGTGGTCCAAAGGGCTGAATGGAGATATGTCCTGAACTAAAGTTTCAAGTTTCCACACCTGATTTTTTTATCTGGAAGGTCGAGCAGAGACGTCTTGCCCTTGGTAAGGAAAACAGATTTGTGGGAATTGCTTTTCTCAGAGGACCATCTAATAGTAACAGACAAAGAGCATGGATGGTTCCTTTCCTTATTCTTAGTCATCTATAGCTCTAGGCTTACAGGTTTCCCCAGAAGGGTCATCTGTCTTGTTAGCTGCCTCAATTAAAAATGCAGGTTCGAAAACACAGTTATACCAAGTTTGCATGACTTGGTTGTTAATCAATACAGTCTAATTTTTAACTGAAAATGAGATATTTAATAGGAGGAGTAATAAAGAAGCAGTAAGAATACAAGCAACATTTTCTAGATTCTTGACAGTCCTGGAAGAAACATTATATAACTTGTAAGAGAAACCAACAAACTGATTCTCTTGGCCACATTAATATCTAGCCAGCGGTTGAAACCTCTTCACGCCTCAAAGCAGAAATTAATTCAGCCTTTCATTACATCACTCTATCAATATTAATACCACCCACCCATATGCACTCTATAATCATAGCTATTCAATCCTGTGGCATACCTATATACATGGGTCAGATCCAGATTAAATTATACTGTACTTCAAAAAGAGTCACTGAAATCAATGGGACTTAATGTTAATCATGACATTAATTAATCATAATATATACTCTTTTATTTCAACAAGACTACTCCAAGTATGACCAAGTCTGGATCCAATCTGCCAGATTTTAGCAATTGCAGTTTCATCATAGTTAGCAGGATCATATTGCCAGGGTTAATACCCATGCTTCACCATCACAGCATAGTACGAAGCAATCTTTCATCACTTCAAGAGCCTCTTCCAGCAATACGTCTTCTCTTCTTCCTTCTGATTTGGACTGTGCGGCTCTGAACTGTGTGGCTTTGTTTCTAGAGGAGGCATGCAATTCTCTTTCCAGCATGCTGCTTATACAGCAAAGTAATGTGCATGAAGATGAAGCTTGAAGTTATTTCACAGAAATCCCTGTCATAGGAATGAAGGTATGCACACCTGGCCTACTATTTGCAGGCATCATTTGGGGAGAACTCCGTGCTTTCTGGGTCTCAACTGTTTTCTGACTTTTCCCCATGGGTGCACACAGTGACCACCCTAATGCCTGAAGGTGACTCAGGTGGTTCCAGGAAAACAGACAAGGAAACAGACATGGAAACACAGCCAACTACAAATCCCTTAACTATGTGTTCCCCATGTATTACAGGCAGGCATTACAATGTGGACAATGCCTTACAATGTGAGACACATAAGAAACATTTAGGAACCCCTGCATATGAAGTGTGTGATACTTTCTATATAAGGCTCCAAACTTACACCTGCTACCAACAGAAGGACAGATGGTTGTCTGTAGGGATCCTGATCAGATAAGCACTTCTCAGGCTGTGAGGACATCACAGAAGACCTTTGTTCATGACAGAGGCACGAATGAAGTGACAGGGATAAAGTGAGATTGCTGAGACCCTCCACCAAAAAAAAAATCCAGGGGTCAGATCTGTGCCACTGGCAAGCTAGGCAGATGAGGATTTTTAATGGCACCGCAGCATCTTGACTACAAAACTGTGCTAAGCACTGAACACTTACTTTGAAATTTGTCCCCAATGACACCTTGTAGATTAACTTCAACTTTAATACTATGTTGGTCTGTTGATGTTCAGAGTTCCTTCCTCCACAGAAAAGGATACCTACCAAATGGCTCATTCACATATTTTCATGCGCAGTCAAGAGCTGGCTCTCAAGGGGGAGGATTACCTTGCTATCCAGACCTTCCTCCGGTGGAGACCCACACCTGAAAACCAGCTTTTCCACAAAGCTTCAAAGCTTTTGAAATGACATTATTCAGTTCCTGAATTCTTGGGAAGGACTGTGTCACCCAGATGCCACATGGGGCAAGAGGAATCTGACTTCTCAAAGATACCCGGGCTTCACAATAACATCTGCACTGAGAGACACACATATGGAAGACACACACATCTAAACAGTATGAGGGGGAGGCAGTGGAAAAACAAGTGTGCATTTCAAAACAGTATATTGCCATTATGTCTTTCTAGTGATTTATTCAAGAACATCTATGAGAAATGAAAATAAAATTATGTTGGGTTTTTATTATTATTATTCCAAATGAAAGACGGAACTAAGTTTGTTACCACTTCTTGATTAAAAATTGCAAGACCTCCAGAGGTCAGGTAAAGACGTACTGGAGTTTCAAGGTGACATGGGGATCTCCTCCTGAAGCAAAAAAGCAAAGGCATGGAAGTCAGCGGTTATGG